CTTTGTTGAAACATTGCTATTTATGATACAAAATAACTGATTTATCTCTTTGATATAGATACAGCCTGTGTACTCTTGCTTACTAAAGCAACTAATTGCGGTGAATTTTTTCAAGGCAATTTTTCAAACATGGATAAACCTATGACTTCCCAGAGCCAGGTAAAAAATATATTTCTAACCAGGCATTATTGTGATGGTGTTATATTGTGTGTATGTGTGTGTGTCTGTGTGTGTGTGCATGCGCTCATATTATGTATTCATAGGTAAATGAAGACATGGATTGATTGCCTTGTTAATTCAAGTTTATGTCCCACTTTAAAACAATAATTATTTGTATTATAATTATATTCAAAAGAGTACTTTTTTTTTGCTTTTTCAGTTTCTTTCTTGAATTATATTTGAATTCAGTCAATTTTCAGATATGAGTTATGCTTATTAATTTTTCCACAGATAATGGATGCCAGCAAAATGTTAAATGTTCCTATTTATAATACATTCGTGGTTGAAAATTACACATCAGAGTGGGAGCTGGACCCTGTAAAGGACACTCAGATCCTCTTTGTGCTGAGGCAGGTGTTACGGGTAGCAGAGGACTTCTTTGAGGACTTGCCTTGAGGAAACAGGTGATCTGGCCCCTTTCTGTCCCTCTCATAAAGCATGGTGCTTTTTGAAAATTCCACGGTTCAACCTCGCCGGATGACTGATGCCCATTAGCTTGCTCTAGACCTGATAGCTATGTCAGGATATCTGCTTTGCTTCTATTTTTTTTTTTTTTTATTTTGCTCTCAGATAAAATTGTAGGAATGTTCCAGCTCTGCATGTGACATCATTTGTCTTGGTTCTATTACTTGCCCCAACCCTGGACTGGCAGGACTCAATGAGAGTCATTGTCTGGTGACAGCCTCCTTATGACTTCTGCTTTCACTCACGTTTTGCCTTCAGTCCCTGAAAGCATCTGATGGTTTCTTCTAGAATCTGTCCTTCCTCAAGCTCAAAGGTCAACCCTGAGCAGTGGTGGGCCAAGAAATGCAAACCACCATTTGGGAATTTAATTTCTGTGACAATTTTCTCAACCTCCCCAGCAAAACGGACTATCCCCTTACTTATTTGTCTATAGCACTTTATTTAGAACTCTATGTGAGTACTAATACATTGAATAATCATTTTAAAAATGGTTACTTGGATATCCACTTCCCTAAATAAATTGTGAGTTCTTTAGGAAGCAGTGTTTGGATTTTACATAACTTTGTATTCACAGAACTTAGCACAGTGTCTTAAAGTGAGCAAGCATGCCCGCCATTATGCCTCTCTCCCAACTTCCCCAGGGTGATAACATGTACTGAAAAATTTTCTTCTTGTAGAAGGGAAGACTGGAAGAGAATGAAATGCTGGAGAGAAGAAATGGACATGAAGGAGGGAGAATGTTTTACTTATCTTTGGCTGAAGATATGAATTTAAACTAATTAAAAAGAACAGATATTTCTTAAGGACTTACATGTTATTTCTGTAAAAAAAACACAAAGTTTTCATTAATCAATTTCAAACCATCCTGCCATGTTTCCCAAGTAGAGTAATCAAATAAGGTTACTAGTGCAAGTCAAGAAGAAGGTTATCTGGGGCGCCTGGGTGGCTCAGTGGGTGAAAGCCTCTGCCTTCGGCTCGGGTCATGATCCTCTCTGCTCAGCGGGGAGCCTGCTTCCTTCTCACACTGCCTGCCTCTCTGCCTACTTGTGATCTCTATCAAATAAATAAATAAATAAAATCTTTAAAAAAAGAAGAAGGTTATCTTATACACATGCCCCCAAATGGTTTTAAATTCCTCTGGGTAGCTTTAGAAATGAGCACTATTAGTAAAGAAAAAAAGATTTTCAGAAGATAAGTTTTGGGTTTTCTGCCTAAAACCCTAACTCTCTTTTCAAAATTTCTTAGTATTTTTCAAATGAATATGCTTTGGCTCAATAGTTATCTATATTAAAGCCATCTAATGTACTTTTAGTCAGAATTATTGTCTTCTTTGGGAAACTAGGAATACTAGAGATTTTGTGTGGTGGGTGGGTGGGATGGGCTGTGGCATTAAAAAGTGACTGTTTTGAACTTAAGTGTGTCTATTGGCAGAGTAATGGATAAAGAAAATTTGGTATGCTGGGGCGTCTGGGTGGCTCAGCCATTAAGTGTCTGCCTTTGGCTCAGGTCATGATCCCAGGGTCCTGGGATTGAGCCCTGCATTGGACACCTTGCTCAGTGGGAAACCTGCTTCTCCCTTTCCCACTTCCCCTGCTTATGTTCTCTCTCTCTTGCTGTTTGCTGTATCTGTCTGTCAAATAAATAAATAAAATTGTAAAAAAAAAAAAAAAAGAAAATTTGGTATATATATTTACACACACACACACACACACACACACACACACAGGTACAAACACACCCTGGAATATTATTCAGCCATAAAAAAGAAGGAAATTTTGCTATTTGAGACCGTAATCTCACTTATATGTGAAATCCTAGAAAGCCTAACTCATAGAAACAGAGTAGAATGGTGGTTGCCAGGGGCTGAGGAATGAGGGGAATGCGGTGATATTGGTTGAAGGGTAAAAATATCCAGTTACAAGATGAAAATGTTCTGGGAATTTAATATATAACATGGTGACTGTGGCTAACAATGCAGTATTATGTACTTGAAAATTGCTAGGAGAGTAGATCCTAAATGTTCTCATCACATGTACAAAAAAGGTAATTATCTGAGGTAATGGATGATGGATGTTAACTAACCTTTTGGTGGCAACTATTTCACAATATATACATGTATCAAATCATTGCATTAAATAACTTACCAAATTTTATATATCTTTCTGTTTGTTTTTTCTGGGGATTTTTATTTATTTGGTATTAAAATCCACTGGTTCCTGAGTAACCCATGAAGTCTGGAAACAAATTTCTTGAGTCTTATTTATTTATTTTAATTTTAATTTAATTTGTTTAGTAATTTCAAGTTTTCATTTAAATTCCAGTTAACATATAGTGTACTATGAGTTTTAAGAGTAGGATTTAGTGATTGATCACCTACATATAACAACCAGTGCACATCACAACGACTGTCTTTCTAGTCCCCATCACCCATTTAACCCATCCCCTGCCCACTTCCTCTCTAGCAACCATCAGTTCTGGATAGTTAGGAGTCTGTTTATATCAATTATATCAATCTGAGCAAGGTGGAAACTGGCATACTACCTGTAAGTCTTTGCAAAATCTTGTGATATTGGAAAAAATGCAGACCACTGGGGGCAGCCAGACAATAGAATTAGGATTATGGCCAATATCCAGCTGCTTGCCCCCAACATGCTTTCCCAACACAGCTCACACAATGGTTTTGAGCTGGTTCCAGACTCCGGGACAGGAATAACAGTGTCAGCAAAAGTGCAGGTAGAGATTGTAGGAATGGGGGTGGAGATGGCAAAGAAGAAGAACAAGAAGAACAAGCTATGTTAAATAATGGTGTGTAAATATAATGGTCGAAGTTTTAAAACAATTTCTCTTTGAGAGAGCGAGAAGACGCATGCACAAGCAGGGAGGAGGGGGGTGGGACAGAAGGTGAGGGCAAAAGAGAATCTTTTTTTTTTTTTTTAAAGATTTTATTTATTTATTTGAAAGAGAGAGAGATCACAAGTAGGCAGAGAGGCAGGCAGAGAGAGAGAGAGGGGAAAGCAGGCTCCCCGCCGAGCAGAGATCCCGATGTGGGGCTCAATTCCAGGACCGCGGGATCATGACCTGAGCTGAAGGCAGAGGCTCAACCCACTGAGCCACCCAGGTGCCCGCAAAAGAGAATCTTAAGTGGGATCCATGCCTCGTGTGGAGTCCTACGTGGGGCTTGATCTCACCACTCTGAGATCATGACCCAAGCTGAAATCAAGACCTGGATGCGTAACCAACCCAACCACCCAGTTGCCCTCCAACACAGGTCTTTAGAGGGGACCTGTCATACCTCTGAGCTCATGTTGGGGGTTGGTGTCTTCCAAAAGCTCAAGGAAAAGAGAGCTGGGAATATTAATTTCTGGAAGGTGATTGTTCATTCAAATGATATAATTTATGAGCAAGGGCTACCTGAATTATGGATTATTTGTGTGTATAGGGGGTTTGGAGGCAGGTCTGAAACTCTGCCTTAAATGCCAATTCTATCTTAGAAGAATATGAGCTAACAAGAGACTACCAAGTGATCTTTTCTACCATCTCCATGTCTCATTTCTTTATCATTAAGGCGCTAAGCCATTTTTTTTTTTTAATTTCTATTCCATTGATGTTACAAGTAATTTGTCAAACATGAAGATTCCTGGCTTCCTTAGTGAACTGAAAGCTGTTTGCCAAGCGATGTTAGATCCTCCCGCTTCAGTCTGAGTTCTTGAGACGGTCTGCAAAATGAAAAAGAATCTGCTGCTTGTTTGAGTCAGGGATAAGTGGGACCTGACCATGGGGAGGTTTTCAGATGGTGGTGACATGGCCCTTAACACTGGCTGATCTCCAAAAGCGTTCTGTATTAGCTCAGCGTTCTCTGTTTGGGATCCTGGCTCCTCTGGCACAGCTTGTCAGAAATCTGTTTTTTTGTTTGTTTGTTTGTTTTTTTCCAGAAATCTGTCTCCCCCCTGCAAGCAATGCAGAAAACAGTGGACCCGGATGAGAGGAAGTCAATAGATAGCAGAGAAGTGGATGAGTTTGGGGCATGCGCCCTGGAGTAGGAATTAACAGCACTTTTTTTTTTTTTTTGTATTTCAACATACAGAAACGGATTGAATTTTTCTTTAAAGAAGTCGCTTAAAAATCTAGTGGGCTGTTAGGTTTTCGTCTCTTTTACTTCAATTATTTGATTCTCCTAATGTTTTTATTTGACCCGACTGTGTAAATTTAACTGGAGCAGTTCCTGTCTCCCCTCCCCGCTCCTGGGCGGGAGGAAACTGGCACTCTGCCCAGTGGGCGGGGCCTTACTAAGTTTCATTTTTCTCTTCTCCGAGTGCCTGAACCTCGGAGGCTGCTGAAGAATGTTCTGTGTGGATTTCTGAGTCTGCTTAGCCGTCCAAACAGAGCAGCCACACTCAGCCTCAGTCCTTATAGAGGGTCTACAAACAGGTAAATGACTTGCTGCTTTCCACTTTTCCTAGCCACTTGCCAATAATAGTCTTCTTAATTAAAAAAAATTTTTTTTTTTAGAATGAAAAGCGAGTTAATTTTTCTGTTATCTGCTCATCCTCTTTTTACTCACCTTAAGTGTAATGTAGAGTACGTAAGAGGCACATATACAAGCTTCATGCCGGGATGTGTTACCTGGTTTTCAATATTTAATGGAAAGTATGTTTGATTTTCTGCTAGATTGAGAAGCATGGCAATGGCGACTCGTTTGACGGCGATGCAAGAAAAGAAGCTGCAGAATTATTTTGGAGGAAAACGGTTTACCCTTCTCTATAAAGCTAGTGTCCATGAATTCTCTGGATATAATTTTCTTAAGAGATGCAGTGGCCAAGGGCCTACTCTGATGGTGATTTATGGTGGATGTTATGTTTGGGGGGCCTATATAAGAATGAATTTTAAGAGAGATGACACAGTTCCCATTGTCCTTTTTGCCTTTCAAGAGAATGAAATTTCAGAATGTGATGTAGGTGCGTGCTCACCACCTACATTTCTTAATGAATATGGTTTAAGATGGAATAATAGTTCAGGGTTCCTCCTAGATCTGAGCGAAAAAAAAGTGACTGTGGACTTAGATGCAGCTAAAAAACTTGGACTGCCTCAAAATCAACCTATTTCCTTTGAGGAATGTGAAGTTTTTCGTTGTGAAGGTAAGTTTAATCAGATAGGCTCATATAGAGTTCTCTCCTGAATGTTTGAGACAACCCATCTCTTTAAGGAAAGAATGTCCTTATCTCTAGGTGACCCAGACTGAAACCCGGCAACACCTCTTTTGCTGAGACCCAACCGTGGTCAAAAGTAGCATATACAGAATTTTCTGGAGTGTGTTTGTGTCGGGGATGGGGTAGGGGAGAGGGAGGGAAGGTAGAAGGAGAAGGAAGGGGGGAGAGGCAGCAAACTTAAAGACTGTGAGATTCTTTTGGAATGAAACCAAACCTCAAACTTCTCTTGACTGGTACTAGATCCTGTAATTTCCCACTGTATCCATTATATTAAAAGACCAAAATGAATTTACTTATTTTTTTGCTAAAGGACATTGTTTCCAATATTTGTTGTTATAAACAATGCTTTTGTAATGTATTTGTGAATATAACTGTGCACAAAAATACTCTTTATAGTAACTTCCTGGAAGTGGGTTTGTTGTTTAAGAAAGATTTACATTTGCACTTTGATAGACACATCTCAAAGGCTTTTATACTTTTCCCAAGAGTGCTATAGAAATGCCTATTTCCCTATCTTCTTGCCAATATTTGATATCATCAGACTTTGGAATATTTGCAATTTGATGGTCAAAAGATGGTTTCCCGGGTGCCTGGGTGGCTCAGTGGGTTAAGCCTCTGCCTTCGGCTCAGGTCATGATCTCAGAGTCCTGGGATCGAGCCCCGCATTGGGCTCTCTGCTCTCTAGGGGAGCCTGCTTCCTCCTCTCTCTCTGCCTGCCTCTCTGCCTGCTTGTGATCTCTCTGTCAAATAAATAAATAAAATCTTTAAAAAAAAAAAAAAGATGGTTTCCCATTTTCTTCTTTGCTTATTCCTGATTATTAGCAAGTTTATGTGTATTGGCCATTTACATTTCATCTCTGAAATAGTTACTTATGACTATCCATTTAAAAGAAGGGGCCCTGGAAATATCCTCTTGAATATTTGCATGTTCCAAACTAGCTGTCTGTGGTCTTTATTTATTTTTTTTTTTTTAAAGATTTTATTTATTTATTTGTCAGAGAGAGAGGGAGAGAGAGCAAGCACAGGCAGACAGAATGGCAGGCAGAGGCAGAGGGAGAAGCAGGCTCCCTGATGAGCAAGGAGCCCGATGTGGGACTCGATCCCAGGACGCCGGGATCATGACCTGAGCCGAAGGCAGCTGCTTAACCAACTGAGCCACCCAGGCGTCCCTGTCTGTGGTCTTTATACTTGAATGATCACCAGAGTACACAATTCTTTGGGGATTTGTAATGTTTTCAACAGTACTGATATTGCTGTTGAAAACCTAGGGCCAGACTTACTTATTTGTTTTAATTGTTTCCTTTTGAATGATTTGATCTTACTTCCTGGCTGCCTCAAACATCTAAAAAATTTTGTTGATGTCTGGTCAGTTTACTTGGATATGTCATGATGTTGACAATCCTGGATCAGTTAAGGAAACTTTTATTGAGGTATAACACATAAACAGAGAAATGCACAATTGATAAATGTACCAATCGACAAACTTTTATAAACTAGACACACTAATGTCACTACTACTAGGATGAATACATAAGATTATTATCATCATTTCAAAAAGCTCCTTGCTGATTTTTCCTGGTTATTACCAACCAAAGATTACTATTACTTTGGCTCATCGACACTAATTACTTCTTCTTTTTGAATTTTATATAAGTGGAATCATATCACAATGTGTACTCTTGTGTGTCTGGCCTCTTACATTCAATATTATGTTTGAGGGATTGAGCTAAATAAGGGAGTGGATTATATAATCAGACCTCTACAATTCGGATATCTTACCCAGTATTAGGCTTGACTAATCATTTCATGGATAAGGATAAAAGCAGTCAGAAATCTCGGAGAAGGCAGAAAGGGTACAAGAATATTCTGCATGGTTCCTAGGATCTTCCTTTGCATATTAGACATATGCTTTCTGGATAAAACAACAGGCAGCGTTGTAAAACAACCTGCCTGTTGTTTTTTTTGAACTTTGTGGGTCACCTTACGTACTAAAGAGTGGTTACATTGTGGAACGTTTATATGTCAGTGCTATGGATTGAATGTGGCCCCCAACCAAGACTCATATGTTGAAGCCCTAACCCCCTGTGTGACTATACTTGGAGATGCGACCTCTAAGGAAGTAATTAAGGTTAAATGAGGTCCTAAGAGTGGGGTCTTAATTCAATAGGATAAGCATTCATATAAGAAGGGACACTTGAGAGCTTACTCTCTCCTCTTGAATATCCAAGAAGAGATCATAGGAGAACACAGTGAGATGGCGGCCACCTACAAGGCAAGGGAAGAGGCCTCAGGATGAAATCTACCTTGCTGCACAGTGATCTTGGACTTCTCAGCTTCCAGACTGTGAGAAATAAATTTTGTGCTGTCCTAGTTTATGGTATTTTGTATGGCAGTCTGAGCAGACTAAAACAATCAGCTTACATGACATTCCCATGAAGACAAGCCTCATAAATCCACAGAATCTGTAAGCCTTCGTGTATATGTGTTTTGGTTCACACATTCATATTGTTTAAAGAAAACGCATACAAAATTTCTGGGTCATTGGATTGGTGTATGCTCAGCTTCAGTGGATACTGACAAAGCTTTCCAACATAGTCATACCAGTTGCCCTCACCACAACAGTATATGAGAGTTTCTGTCACTTCTAAATTTTTCCCAATACTTCTTGTTACAATATGTAACCATTTTGGTACATGAACTGTGGCATGATATTTTGTGAATCTGGTTCACTTTGATTAGACTAGTCAGTAATTTATTTTACAGTTTAAGCCAATTACTATATTAATTTATCCTTTTTCAACTTATAAAATTTGCCTTGTATTTTGGTTAATTCCTTCTAATATTTCTAAGGTTTGTTTCTGTAGTCTTTTCTGTTTCTATTTTCAATTTTCAAAACTTTCCTTTTTTCTTTTTATTAACAAAGTATACTTTTATCACAAGGTTGATATAAAGTGTTTATATTCTGGTTATCTTCTATATATTTACATTTTGATTTTGAATTTCCTTTTGGATGTTAAAGTTAAGAGGTGCTTTGTAAAAGTCCAAGAAGTGGCTTTTATCTCTGTGTACACTTAACTCTTCTCTCGTTTTATTATAGTCATTGTATGTAGTCTTTACTATTTTTACTTCTGGTCATTTAAAGAGGTTTTCAGTCCATATGTGTAGCCATATTTTTAAATGTTTCACACAGTATTTTTTTGTAGTGTAGAGAATTGCCAGCCTCACTACACCTGATCCTTTCAGTTTTTTTTTTTTTAAGATTTTATTTATCATTTATTTATTTTAGAGAGAGGGAGGCTGAGTGAGTGAGGGAAGGAGAGGGAAAATCCACTGCAGGTGCTATGCGGGGCATGGAGCCCAACGTGGGTCATGGATCCTGACCCGGGCTTGATCCCACTACTGGGAGATCATGACCTGAGCGGAAACCCAGTCAGTCATGGAACCCATTAAGCCATCCAGACACCCTGCAGCTTATCCTTCCAGTTTTTTTTTTTTTTTAAAGATTTTATTTTTATTTATTTGACAGAGAGAGAGAGATCTCAATAGGCAGAGAGGCAGGCAGAGAGAGGTGGGGGTCAGGGAAGCAGGCTCCCTGCTGAGCAGAGAGCCCTATGGGGGCTTGATCCCAGGACCCTGAGATCATGACCTGAGCCGAAGGCAGAGGCTTAACCCACTGAGCCACCCAGGTGCCCCTGATCCGTCCAGTTTTAAATCTACCACCGAAGAGTATCTCTTCACAGGAAGTGAAATTCTGGGCCTGAGTCTCACTGGTTCACATAAAGTCCTCGGCTCTCACCTCAACCACTCACTGTGCTCTGATTGGGTGAGGGATGCATCCTGCACTCTCTTTGGAGCCACAAAGAAAATCAATTGGACTGGAAGTTCCAGGAACTCCAGCCGTAGATAGTAGGTTTTAGAGAAGATTTGGTGTCTGTGGTTTTTTTGTTTGTATCTCTGTACATTATCCTTTTCAGGCCTTTTGGATTATGGAGAGCAACTATTTTAAAGTATTCCCAGTCTTTCCTTGGCCTGTCCCCCTGCCTTTATGCCTTGCTTCTCTGATTCAGAAAGGACCCCAGTTCTCATTTCCCATGTTGGCGCGAGCCACATCCTACTGCTGAGTAATTGGGTGAGAAGAAATCTGTGGGCAATCTAGTCTTACAGTGCCCACCTTGCCTCTAGCACTAGATTCTTCAAAAGAGATGTTAAGGAGATTTGCAGAATTTTCTCCACTTGCTTTCGTTGTACTGTGTTGCTGTCATGGAAAAGCTATTTCTGTATTTTACCCTAATGAATGCATTGACATTCAGTTAGACTGTCATTCAACAACTTGTGCTTTTCATTTTTCTTTATTTCCCTAGATTTATTGGATAAAAGAATCATGAAAGGGATTACTCAGTAAGTCAATGTCAATTAAAATCATGTTTTTATTATAAATATTATATATTGTATATTATAAAATAAGTCAAATAAATAATGTTCTGTTATTCTGTTTATTATCTTAGACTTATTTTTTATAGGTTCTGTCAAATTGGTAACAGATTATAACATAACTTTTGGATCATCAAGAATAAACTATAATTATATTTATAATCATAAAACTATTTGATAATACCAATGTTAAAACAGAAAGAATGCCGGGTAAAGGGAAAGCACTCCTAACGTTTTTATATACTTGAAGGAAAATAATTATTTGGCAGCATGTCTACATTTTTGCTTAGACTTCTTGAAGTTACAGTTTCAACTACTTTAGGGAATTGCGTTGGAAAGGGTGGCTGGTGGGTAGAGGATACTTAAATGAACTTCAAGAACATGTTAGAAATTATCTACTTACATAAACTTCAAAAGTCACACGTTATGTTGTGCTTTTTGAAATTTATTATTGATAAGTTATCTTCATAACGCAGTTCATATTTATTATTAGGCTTATATGAACTGGTTGCTTAAATCTGAAAGGTTTTGTGTCTGATTGGCTTTAGTTGTGTTATTTTCGCTTTTTTCTTCTTTTATGGTAGGATTTGAAGTAGGATAGTTGCTTGTCCTTTTTTTTTTTTTTAAAGATTTATTTATTTATTTATTTATTTGACAGAGAGAGATCACAAGTAGGCAGAGAAGCAGGCAGAGAGAGAGAGGAGGAAGCAGGCTCCCTGCTGAGCAGAGAGCCAGATGTGGGGCTTGATCCCAGAACCCTGGGATCATGACCTGAGTCGAAGGCAGAGGCTTTAACCCACTGAGCCACCCAGGCGCCCCTGTCCTTTCAACAGGAAAGCAAGTTGCTAATCAAAAAGAAATAATAATATATAAGAAAAAGAAAAAGAATTCTAGGAAAACTTATGGTAAGTTCTTGTGATGTACTCTCTGTTGTTATAATTGTCTGTCTGAACAGACTCCATGAGAGATTATTGGATGACATGAGAACCTACAGTTCATATGGAGGCCTCGTTCACCAAATACGGATTCTGCTCCTGGGTCCCACTGGGGCTGGGAAATCTAGCTTCTTCAACTCAGTAAAGTCTGTTTTCCGAGGCCACGTAACACACCAGGCTCTGGTGGGCTCTGATACAACTGGGGTATCTGGCAAGGTATGTCCATTCAAAGTCACTCAGCCTTTGCTTCTTTGTTCAAGTTAAGTAGTTTTGAAAATTCTTTTTTTTTTTAAATTTTTTATTTTTAAAATTTCTTTTCAGTGTACCAGAATTCATTGTTTATGCACCACACCCAGTACTCCATGCAGTACGTGCCCTCCATAGTACCCACCACCAGTCTGACCCAGCTTCCCACCCTCTGCCCCTTCAAAACCCTCAGATTGTTTTTCAGAGTCCATAGTCTCTCATGGTTCATCTCCCCCTCCAATTTCCCTCAACTACCTTCTCCTCTCCATCTCCCCATGTTCTCCGTGTTATTTCTTATGCTCCACAAATAAGTGAAACCATAGAATAGTTGACCTTCTCTGCTTGACTTGTTTCACTCAGCATAATCTCCTCCAGTCCTGTCCATGTTGATAACAAAAGTTGGGTGTTCATCCTTTCTGATGGAGGCATAAAACTCCATAGTTTATATGGACCACATCTTCCTTATCCATTCATCCGTTGAAGGGCATCTTGGTTCTTTCCACAGTTTGGCGACCGTGGCCATTGCTGCTATGAACATTGGGGTACAGATGGCCCTTCTTTTCACTACATCTGTATCTTTGGGGTAAATACCCAGTAGTGCAATTGCAGGGTCATAGGGAAGCTCTATTTTTAATTTCTTAAGGAATATCCACACTGTCTTCCAAAGTGGCTGCACCAACTTGCATTCCCACCAACAGTGTAAGAGGGTTCCCCTTTCTCCACATCCTCTCCAGCACACATTGTTTCCTGTCTTGTTAATTTTGGCCATTCTAACTGGTGTAAGGTGATATATCTCACTGTGGTTTTGATTTGAATCTCCCTAATGGCTAGTGATGATGAACATTTTTTCATGTGTCTGATAGCCATTTGTATGTCTTCACTGGAGAAGTGTCTGTTCATGTCTTCTGCCCATTTTTCGACGTAATTATCTGTTTTGGGTGTGTTGAGTTTGAGACGTTCTTCATAGATCCTGGATATCAGCCTTTTGTCTGTACTGTCATTTGCAAATATCTTCTCCCATTCCGTGGGTTGCCTCTTTGTTTTGTTGACTGTTTCCTTTGCTCTGCAGAAGCTTTTGATCTTGATGAAGTCCCAGAAGTTCATTTTTGCTTTTGTTTCCTTTGCCTTTGGAGACATATCTTGAAAGAAGTTGCTGTGGCTGATATCAAAGAGGTTACTGCCTATGTTCTCTCTAGGATTCTGATGGATTCCTGTCTCACGTTGAGGTCTTTTATCTATTTCGAGTTTATCTTTTTGTATGGTGTAAGAGAATGGTTGAGTTTCATTCTTCTTCTACATATAGCTGTATGTATGTCCAATTTTCCCAGCACCATTTATTAAAGAGACTGTCTTTTTTTCACTGTATATTTTTTCCTGCTTTGTCGAAGTTTATTTGACTTCATTCCATGTAGACTTTATCTCCATTTGCAATTAAAAAAATGTACTTCTAAAATTGCTTTTTTTTCTCCTCTGTAGTACAGGACATATTCCATTAAGGATCAGAGATCTGGCAATGCCCTGCCATTTATTCTGTGTGACTCAATGGGGCTGGGTGAGAAGGAAGAAGGACTGTGCATGGATGACATAGTCTACATCTTAAAAGGCCACATTTCGGACAGATACCAGGTATGATTGGGCTAATCACTGAGAAATTATAACTGATATTTAAAATGTTTGTTTTTGCTCGCTGCTGACGACTGCAGATTCTAATCTAATTTAATGCATTACCATTTATTTTCTTGAACTGTATTTGTTCAAAATCATTTGTTCTTTTTTGATATTTTATTTTACAAAGAATTTAAACATCCAAAAGACTCTTCTGTCATAGCTGTTATAACAACTCTGAATGTTGTTGTGTATTCAATTGCCTTTGGTTGTGTGAGACAGAAATCCAAATACATCGATTTACTCACCTAGGTAATTTTTCTTATGTAACAGGAAGTCTGAAGGGTAGGCAGCTTTTAATCAGTGTGGACACTCTCTGAGGTTATCAATTTCAGGGGTCCATCTCACTTTCTCTTATGAGACCCTCAGTATGGGGTGCTTTATGTTCCCCTAAAATTCACATGCTAGCCCTAACCCCAGTGTCATGGTATTAGGAGGTGAGGCCTTTCAGAGGTGATTAGGTCATGAGGGTAAATCCCTCATGAATGGGATTAGTGTCCTTACAAGAGAAGATAAAAAGAAAGATGATCTTTCTCTCTGCCACATGAAGACACAACAAGAAGTTAGCTATCTGCAAACCAGGAAGAGGGCTGTCATCAGAGGCCAAATCTGCTAGCGCCTTGATCTTGGACTTTATAGCCTCAGAACTGTGAGAAGTAATTTTTGTTCTTCATGGCACCAAATATGGTAATTTGCAGCCCAAGCGGACTAAGACGTGTGGCTTTCATCCTTGATGCTCTCCAGATGTTCACACTGAGCACTGTATGTGTTCTAGACAGGAGAAGTGGGGATTAAAGAGAAAACCACTTTAGTCTGTCATTTTTTTAAAACTTTCTAGTCCTTTGAATAGACATTTTGATTTTGAATTAATCATTACTTTACCTTGTTCCAAATGAATAGTCAGTTGTGCCAGCATCTTTCCTTGAATGTCTTTGCATCTTTTCCCTACCAAATATAGGGATTGGTTTGCTCTGTTGATGTATTTATCAATTCCTTTATGATATTCTTTTTATTACCACATCGTTTAATTGTTGTAACTACCATAGCAATCAACTGTGTCTTGATACCTCACTGGACAAGTCATATTCATTACTTATTTCTTGCATTTGCTTTTCTGCACTATTTTCACAATATACTTTTCTAAGTGAGCCTGTTTGTGTTTGATTTGTTGTTGTTTTGATTAAAATTACATTAAAATTTTATATCAAAATTTGATTTACATCTTTACATATCAAATGTTCTTATCCAGAAACACAAAATGTTTTATTTTTCTACTCATGCAAGGGCTTTCATTCTTTAGTACAGCATTGTCTTGTAGAGGGAAAGCTTATTTTTCAATATTCATTTTTTTTTAAAAACAGCTTTATTATAGGGAATTTAAACTATGCAAAAGTAGACAAACAATTTAATGAATTCCCATTTACTCAGCTTCTTCAGTTTTTGATCATGGCTCATCACCTGTGTCTATCCACTTTCTCCTCCCCTGTATTTCTCGGAATCAAATTTAATACATCTTAACATTTAATCCATAGATCATAGCAAGTACACCAATACTCTGATGACAAACATCAAACCCACCCTTCCTAGTCAACTAACATTTACCCAAACCACATACAGTTAGGTTTGGTGTACTGAATATAGTCTAAAGTCAACTTTACAAAATAGGGTGTAGTCAAAGAATCTATTTCCTTTCTCTGGCCCTTCAAATACATTTCTTCCTTTTTCTTATAAATAACCATATAAGGGGCGCCTGGGTGGCTCAGTGGGTTAAAGCCTCTGCCTTCGGCTCAGGTCATGATCCCAGGGTCCTGAGATCGAGCCCCACATCGGGGTCTCTGCTCAGCAGCAGGGAGCCTTCTCCCCCCCACCCCCGTCTGCCTCTCTGCCTATTTGTGATCTCTGTCTGTCAAATAACTAAATAAAATCTTTAAAAAAATATAAAAATTTATGATGTACTTTCCTTTTTTACAATATAAGAAAATACAGGTCTGTGGTTCTCCTCTTTTTAGAGAAGTCATGAACTACTCTGTGTTATTGGTACATTAGAATCCTGCCACTACACGTAGTCCTGAAGTTAATAGACTTGTGCATGCATCATTTTGTATTTTTACTGCCATACCTGTGACAGATTCCCAGCAGAAGGATTGCTAGTTCAAGAGTAAATGCATCTCATTTTGAACCACTTTCAGCCCTTGCATTCTGTGTGGTGAAACCACATTCCTTTCTGAAGGCTTTCACCTCCACCTTGCCCACATTTGTTCTATCTAGAATGCTTTTGGCCATGTGCTCATTCCTTTTATCAGACTAACTTCCCCTACTTTTCAGCTCCCAGATTACATGTCCGCTTCTTCGGAAACTATGTGACTGAGGGAATGGGGTGCTAGCTACTTGCATAGACTGTCTTCTCTACTGGATTGTTAACCTCATAATATCAGAGACTTGCCTGATATATAATATGTGCTCATGAATATCCATGGAATTAAAACGTTGAGTTATGTTTACCTTGCAGTTTAATTCCTCAAAACCAATCACACCGGTTCATAGTAACTATATTGACAACCCATTGCTGAAGGACAGAATCCATTGTGTGGCACTTGTATTTGACATCAACACTGTTGAACACCTCTCTCGTGACATGATGGCAAAGATCAAAAAAATTCGAAGGGAGTTGATAAAGTGTGGTGAGTCTTGTTCCACTCTACTATCGAGGGCAGTTAATTAGACTATATTGTAGAATGGTTTTAGAACAGGATGAAAAATTTTAGAAATTGCATATGTGAATCTTCTGTGGCCCATCAGTGTGGTTCAAACAAATCAAGCACTCGACAGCTGTATGACTTTGTGCCATGACCTAAATTCTCTATGTCTCAATTTCCTAACCTAGAAAATTAGTATAAGGATAACACCTATCTCAGAGATTTATTATAAGGATTAAGCAAATCAATATATTTGAAGAATTTAACAAGTCTTCACTACCTGTTACCACTGTATCCTAACATAGATTCATTTACCAAAAGTTCTAGATTTCCTCTTGGGCCTTAAATGATTAGAAATGGAAAACAGTATATCAGTAAGAAAACAGGCAGGGAAGTAAGATGTTAGGTAGGGCGGGGTAGCATAAAGGCTTAGGGGAAGGTAGACAGGATCGGGGAATTAAGGTGCCCCATACTGGCTTTTCTTGGCTTTATTACCCATTCTGTCGGGAAAAGCGCCAGTTTGTCACAGCTTTGATTAAGTTAGAAGCATGGAGTGATTTACTTGCTCACTGTAATTTGAAACCTTGCCAGTGAGGTGTGCAGGGAGGTGCTTGCTAGCATTGTCATAGAAGAACAATTTACTTGTGATGCTTTCACACATGCTATTGACTTCTGGAGGATTCTCCCCCATCTTGCTTGTGAGATCTCTTTTCTGTAGTCTCCATAAAAACAACCGTTTGGACGGGATAGGAGACCAATCAACAATATTGTAGTATCACTAGTTACCTCTTTAGTTATCTCTTCCAAAAGGTGGTTTCATTTGAAGCCACATTTCTTACCATGGAAAGCAATGAAGGGAATTTCCTATGATATTAATGAGTACTTGAGCGGTGCATTTTTAAGGGATGGTGGGCCTTCCCAAATCTCTGAACTTGCTTCACAGATAGCCTGTTGCATAATTGATCTCTGGTTAACTGAAACATACTGATGCTGTCTTTAATGATCAAAGTGACAAGTATCTGTTTGGCCTAGGTGTAGCACATGTGGTTTTGCTCACTCATGTGGATAGCGTGGACCTGATTAGCAGAGGTGACCTTGGAGACATATACAAATGTATGCTTGTGAAGCCTAAGGTAATGAATGATGTTCCTCTTTGCAGACACATTTTCTGGGATATGTCACTATAATCACATGATATTGCTGCGAATAAAAATAAAAATGGACACCTGTTGAACTTAAGAATTAAAATAATTTCTTGGATAATTCAGACTTGCTTCTCAAATTTAAAAATTAAATATATATTCATCTTTACATGGACACAGATCATTCCATTCATTATAATTTAACCCAAATAGCTTCAATTCAACAAATATTTATTGATTGCCTTTCATAATTGAGTCAGTGTGATAGTCGCTAACCAGATACACAGATAATTAAAACAATTTCTCTGCACTCAAAAGGTTATAATTTTATCAGTGGAGGTGAGAGGGTGGGGGAGAGGGATAGGAAAAAATTGACAGAGTATGAGTATGATAAATCTTATGAAGGGATTCAAAATAAAATCGAAAGTTTAGAGGAGGAAAATATTGTGTGAAAGGAGATGGAGAAGATTTCATTCCTGGAGTGTCACTGGAAAATAGGTCTCAAAGAGGAGGAGGATTTTGGGTGGTGAAGAGACAAAAGGGGAAAAAAAATCAGGCTATGAGGATAGTCCAAGTCAATACAGTAGTGTGGGAAGAGGCAATGTGAGTGGGAAGCATGGAGTCATTCAGTTTAGTGGAGGGCCGAATCCTTGTAGGGGGAGATAAAGAAGTTATATTTGCATGAGGGGACTTTACGTAATTGGGCACATTATGGGGAATCATAGCAATTTTTTTCTCTCTTAAGTTTTTATTTAAATTCCAGTGAGTTAACATATGGTATAATATTAGTTTCAAATGTACAATGTAGTGATTCAACATTTCCATGCATCACCAGTGCTCATCACAGCACGTGCCCTCCTTAATCCCCATCATGTATTTAGCCCATCCCCCCACCCCCGTAACCTTCAGTTTGTTCTCTCTATTCTTAAGAGTCTGTAGTCTCTCTCTCTCTCTCTCTTTTTACCCTTTGCTCATTTGTTTTGTTTCTTAAATTCCACATATGAGTGAAATTATATGGTGTTTGTCTTTCTCCAAATTATTTCACTTAGCATAATACTCTCTAATTCCATCCATATTGTTGCAAATGGCAAGATTTTTCATATATATATATATATGAATCACATCTTCTTTATCCATTCATCAGTCAATGGACACTTGGGCTCTCTCCATAATTTGGCTATTGTAGATAATGCAGCTATAAAAAGTAGTGATATAACCAAACTGAAGCATCACAAAAATTAATCTCCCACTACATGTAGAATGGATTATAGTCGAAAGGAACCTGGATTTGGGAATACCAGTTGGGAACATGTAATGATAGCTAGTATTTGTTGAGCACTAAATATGTGATAAATTTTCTTATTCAATATTTACAACAGCCCTGTGAGATGAGTACTGTCATTACCACATTTTATAGATGAGGAAACAAACACACAGAGAGTAAAGTATTTGCCAGTGTTTTTGACAGTGACGAGAAATAACAGAGCCCTGTTTTAAACCCAAGCAGTGTCATTCCCCAGATAAATTTGTCTAAGCAAGAATTAAAATAGCATACTAAGCTAATCTAGTAAAATTGACTAATCATGAGAATAACTTTGAATAAGAAACAGGGAAATTGCAGACTCTAGCATAAAGCATTAAAAATGCTTCAGTTTCAAAGTAATCTGCATGGAACTATTAGTTACCTTTCATTTCTAACTCATATGAAATATATGTATTCTCGATGAAAGTTGGTAGTGACACTGGAGATTGACTTGTGAAGCTCTTTAAGAAAGTATTTATGGGACCAGATCTCTATCTTTATTTTCCCCAACAGGAATACTACTGCCAAGCTCCTGCTATTTGTTACTGCTTTCGTGGTATATATTGACCTAAAATAGTCTTGGTCACTGTTTCTCTATTGCAGTTAGAGACAGTCCACAGAGAACTTGGATTTGCTCTTTCTGACATCTTGGTGATTAGTAATTATACCTCAGAGTGGGAGCTGGACCCTGTAAAGGACGTTCTGATCCTCTCTGCGCTGAGACAGATGCTGTGGGCGGCAGATGACTTCTTAGAGGATTTGCCTCCTGAGGAAACAGGTAGATATTTGATGGTATTGACATTTGAAGGTGTCAGCTGTATGGCTACTCCCGCTTGGATCTATTGGGTACGTGGAAGTTCACTGTGTCACTGTAGGTCACCGTCTTGTGAGGAGTCCTAGCCTGTAGCTCACTGGCTGGGTGTGTTTTCTCCCCCCTCACATTTCCTGATTTCCCCACCCTTAGGGTACATCCTAGGAATTTGCACTACTTCTCTTTCCCCCCATGTCTAAAGATACAATCTTTGAAATGATACATTTCTGTCATTTCTACTGTATGAAGACTCCAAGTTGTATCCTTGCCCTCTTCTCTCAAAATGTGCTTCTTTGCTTGGGACCCAGAAATGGATTGGATCAGCGTTGTTCCTGATCAGATATGATCTTGGCTTACTTGCCCCTTTCTTGGGACTTATGTTTTTGCCTTTTATGATTTGACTTTTTTGATGTGTCTTCCACCTCAGAGTTTCTCAATGCCAGGTAGTCAGTGCTAGGTAGACATAAGTGCCTTTCATATTTATGGCCTCAGATTTTCGCATTACATGTATTCTCTCTCAGATTCTCTCAAGAATACATGCTGCACGGTTTCAGTCAAAGATCAGACAGAGGGGCGCCTCAGTGGCTCAGTGGGTTAAAGCCTCTGCCTTTGGCTATGGTCATGATCCCAGGGTCCTGGGATCGAGCCCCACATTGGGCTCTCTGCTTGGCGGGGAGCCTGCTTCCTCCTCTCTCTCTGCCTGCCTCTCTGCCTACTTGTGATCTCTGTCTGTCAAATAAATAAATAAAATCTTTAAAAAAAATCAGACAGAAGTTTCAATTTATACTCAAATTTTATTTTAGTTTGTGAGAAATAAAATTAGAATATCAAATCTTCTTTATTCTCTCTCACTTGCAAACTGCTAAGAAACTCTCATGCTACTACCGACTCTACCATCTTGATTTCTTCATGTCTTCTCTTCTTCATGGAGCATGCACTCCCAAAGTCAGGGCTGGTTGGCTTAGACCCCCCAGTAGCCCAATGTTCTTCCTCCTTCTGCTTGCTTTTCCCTAAATAATCCAGTAAGAATATTTTGTTTCTCTTTTCTCAGAGATCAAAGAAGAGGAACCACCGACTGTGTAAAAGAAGGAAAAAAATATGTGAACCCTTCACATACTAATAATTTTTATCTCATCATAGAAGATTGAAAATTGAAAAATAAGAAAACACAGGAAAAAGAGAAGTAGCTGAAACAGAAGGGGCATGTTTTGTTTATGTCTGTGTTGAAGATACATATGGAAAATCATAATGCCTGCAAATAACTAGAAACAGTGGGATTTAAAGCCATTAATGGTGGAAAAAATGAACATAATTTCTTTTGGATTTATGTTCTGTATCTGTGAAAAATCAAAGTTTCTTCTTACAAAGTCTGAATTTAACTTAAGTGTGGGTGTGTGATTTTGGAAAAGTTTATTTTGTCAGCATCATTTGGTCTTCACCCACATCATCTTAATTTTGCTTTCTTATTTTATTTCCAAATTATTTGATCTTCTCTTTGGGTCTCCAGTTAATGGTGTACTCTTTACACTAAGGCCATTTTTTGGTTTGCTTAATATCTGAAAACCTCTTTTAAGATGTGACAATATTGGTAAGAGTTTGAGGGGATTAAAGCTGACAAGAACTATAGTTTGATTTTTCTGTCAATTATGACTATTTTAGTTACAAGTGATAAAACTCAACCTGAATTACATGATTAAAAAAATAATCAAACCATATAAAAGGCTGGGGTTGAACTGAACTGCCTCAGAAATGATTGAATCTAGAGATTCAAAATCTATTCTCTTTCTCTCTCACACACGTGCACATGTGTGTGCACGCGCGTGCACACACACACGCACACACTCTCTGGTTCCTTCTTTGTGTCTCTTGCTGTCATTCTCTCAGGCTAGCATTCTTGATAAATCTTAAACAATCTGAATCCAAGCTGACATTCATTCAGTCTTGTGACCCAAAAGGGAAGAGGGCTTTTCTTTTCCAGTTTCATTGTGAAATAATCCAAAAAAGGACTGTTGATTTAGTTCAAATCATATGCCTACTCCCCAAGAACAATCACTTTCTCTGCAGAAGAGAGAGAAATATGATCATCCCATCTTAAATAATACTTGCCCAAGAAGAGTGATTTGTTATTAGAAGGAGGGGTTTAATCATGGACATGACCACTGTGGATTAACTGAGCTGAAGAGGCACCTTAATATGTATCTTGTGAATTCAGGAAGTTTTCTATCTAGTTTCTCACTTAGAATATAAGAATAAATATATTCTTTATAAGAACGTAAAGTCTTATTAATAAGTCTAAAAATCATTAACAATTTAAAAAAGCTTTTTATTAAAGTAGTATATACACATAAAAAGTTTATAGTTCATAATTGTATGGCTCAGTACATTTTGATAGACTCAAGCCATGAAACTAGAACTCAGGTAAGAAACAGAACATTCTAGAAGTTCCCTTTAAGCCCCAGTCTAGCTACATAGGATATCCACTATTCTGACTTCTAATTGCATAGATTAGTCTTTTTCTTTTTTATCCCTAACATAACATTATGCACTATTTACTCTTTTGGGTCTAACTTCTTTCCTGAGATGGTTTATTTGTTTGATTTGTATTATTGTACATAGGTAAAGATAATTTGTTCACATATATCCTATTATTGTCATGTTAATGGGAAGTTCTAATACTTTCCTTGTAGGTCAAGAATACATTCCATATCTGTTGCATTAAAAATTTTTCTAATTAAAGCTACATAAAAATAAACCATTTGATTTTGGGTCTTTCCAATTTTGTATAATAATAAAGATTCCATAATGGGAACATACTGTATTTCAATTTGTAAATGTAGCTTGAAAATGAGAAGTAGCATCATGAAGGAGTTGACATGATCCTAAAATTTACAGAGCAGTGTAACGTTTCAAACACAGTCAAGATGTTCTTGATAAACGAAGGGGGAAAGCAGGTATAAAGAGACATATTAAGAAATGTAAATTAACTGTGGTGGATTAATAAATTAATGGAACAGAATGGAGAGTCCAGAAACAGACTTGAGCATGTCTGGACATTTATTCTATGATAGGGGTAGATGAATGGAGAAACAACAGACAATTCATAAATGGTCTAGTGAATTGGCCATCCATATGGGGAAAAATAAAAGTGAATCCCTCACATCGTATGCAGAAGTCTACTTTAGGTGGACTAAGCACCTAAATGCTAAAAGGATTTTGGAAGATAAAATAGAAGGGTACTTCTATAACTTGGGGGTAAGGAAATATTTCTTAAGTCATAGTTCTTAAACAAGATACAAAAAGCTTAATACCAAAAGAGATTGAAAATTCAACTATATTGAAATCAGTAACTTTTTTTATTTTTATTTTTTAAATCAGTAATTTTTATATTCAACAAATCCCATTAAGATAGTAAAAAGATACAGCAATATGTGGGAGAACATATAACTAGCAAAGAACTAATAAAAGGACATACAGAGAAATCCTACAGGTCTAGAAGAAAACAAAAATATAAAAGAAAATGAACCAAAGACTTGAAAAGGGAGCTCTAAAGAAAAAGGAAATTCAAATATTCAGTACATAAGAAACATGTTCAACATAATTTGTAATAGAAAAAGATCCAAACTAAAATAATTTGGTTCTTTTTTACATTTATTGAGATTTAATTGACATATAAAGTACATATTTTTAAAGTGTAACATTGAGTAAGTTTTGACATATGAATGCACCTTAAAATAGTCTTGACAGTCAAGATAACAAATATTTCTATCCCCCCCCCAAAAAATTGTAATCCATTCTCTTTATTCCATCTCTTGTTCTGGTCCTCAGATAACTAGTCTGTACTCTGACACTCTAAGTTACTTTTCACTTTTTAAGAATTTGTATACATGAAATTGTGCAGAATATACTCTTCCGTGTCTGGCTTCTTTTATTCAGTGTTTTGAGATTCAACCATGTGGTTGTATGTAACAATAGTTCTTTCTTTTTATTGCTGAGTAGTATTTCATTGTGTGAATATACTACATTTCTTTATCCATTCACCTGTAAACAGACTTTTGGATTGTTTCCAGTAAAGTTCACGATTTGCAGAGAGACCCCATGAGCTAGCATTTTGACTCTCAGTTACGTATCTTAAGGATACTTTTTGGGTGCATAAAAATACACGTATAAGAATTTTTGTAGTAGCCTTGTTCATAATAGGCCCTGTTGGAAGCAACCCACATGCCCATCAATAGTAGAAAAGATAATAAATTGTGGTATATTATATAGAGTACTTCATTTCATATAACAAAATTAAAGAACTATAACTATATATATCAGTGTAAATATTGTAAATATAATATTGGCCAAAAGGATAAAGACATGAATGAATCTATGCATTATGTATAGTTTTATATAAATCTCACAAAAGTTCTAAATAGAAGAGAGGAAATGATGATCGTAAAAGTGAAGATGATAATTACCTTTCAAGGGTTTAGGGTTGTGAAGAGTCAGGGGTCACCTAGGGATTCTGCAGAAATTAAAAGTTTCCTTTGTATTGAACAAGGTGGTTGTGAAATGGATATTTGCTTTATAGTTATTTTTAAGTTGTACATTTGTATTTTATGTACTTTTCTTCATGTATTATATATTTCATAATTAAAGCAGGAAAAATGAGAAGTGATATAATATACAAACATTAGAATTAGACAAAACTGGGTCTTGCTGCGTATTATGTGATCTTTAAGAAGTCTCTCATTTCCCTATCTTACAGATGATGATAACAGTTTATTCATAGATATTTTGTAAGAGCTAAATTAGATAATATATACAGCTAGATTATCAGTGCAGGCACTTAGAAACAGAAACTCAGGTGCTGATGGACACTGCCAATCTTGTATAACAACAAACTGATAAGTAACTATGTTTCCCTATTGTAAATTTAACTTTATTATAGTTGAAAACAAAGATAAGACTTGGACTTTGAAAGCTCATAACAAAAATGAAAAATACCAAAAGCCAAATTATCAGAGTTTTTGCTTTTGGTTGTTTGATATGTGGTGTTGTTTGTTTGTTTGTTTGTTTTTGTTTTTGTTTTTAATATACCTTTGCCTTCAAAGAGTGTACTGTAACTCAAATTCAAAATTTATAAAAGCAAATAGAAACATATTAAATGGCTTGGTCACGTCTGCCCCCTACTGGCCAATTTACAAAGTGGAAAGGAGGCTGAAGGTTGAATTTGGAAGCTTGAATTAAAACTGCTAAGGTTTCTAATTCTTAAAAAAGCTGACACAACAAATTTTCAAGTGTGTGATTTTTTTAAAGGTATACAACATTTAAATAGAAGATAATTTTCTCCTGGTGTTGAAGATATGGTAGTACTTTGGAAATGCTGTGGTCTGCATTCTCTAATGTTTTTGGCATTATATTAGACTTATTATTTATACATGTTTACATTTCAAGCTAACATTAATGTGTTGTATTTTAGCATTTTTGCTAACCTGCAGGACAGAAATTTGAATATATAATACTTAAGGCTTATGGTGATCAATGAACACACAAAATGGGTACTTTTGCCTTTTGCTTTTCATAAATGGGATCCCCAATTACATTACTTTTGGATAATGAAGTCTTGAACCCACTTATACAGGAATTAATTTGTATAGATAAATCACAGTTGTGGGGACCAGGAGAAACATTATACTTCAAGTGCCATGTTCTCTCAATTTTAATTTCTATTTGATTTAGGATTATTGCATATGAACCGAGAGTTTGCAAATTAGTTACTATAGCAAATTGCTACAAAAGCATGAAAATATGTTCCATTTCTGTGCCAATGGTGCCTTCAGAGAGATTTACAGTGGATTCCTTTCAGCTACATAGTATTGAGTCCAACCCTTTTTTAGGATGGTTTTCCTAATCTGGACATATTTGATCTCAAGCCCTAAAACAAGCACTCAATTGAGTGACTTCTGCTTCTTCACTGTTTTGTGCATCTTCTTGTCTCCATGGCTTTGTTCATACTTTGGGGAAGTTACTTAATTTCTGTTTGCTTTGTCTTCTCATCTGGTAAATGGGGATATTTTACTTACCCTGATTATTTTGAAGATTAAATGAGAAAGCATAGGTAAAGTACTTTTTTGAAAAGCATCTAAAACACAGTAGGCACTAAATAACTACCATTAACCATTATCCATTTTCCCCTGACCTTCTCCAATATTCCTCCTCCAATCCCATCTACCACCTACCAATAAAGAATTTTCTCTGCCATTGGCATTCCGCTGACTCTTTGTTGATACCACTCAAGCATCATGACACTCTATGTGAATTATCTCCCTGCATGACTGCCTACTAGGCACAGAGCTTCTTGTGGGCAGGAGTCCAAATAGTGTAGTTTCTGAGCATAATAGATGCCCAAGAAAATTTTGGGAGACTAAATGAAGTGATCAGAAAACATGAAGGTAGATGGGTTGTGAACCCAATTCATTTAATACCAATTGAGAACAATAACAAAAAACTATTTTGAAGTATAGGAAACTAAAGTAGGAAAAGGCAAAGAAGGGCAGAGCTGAAGCCATTACTCCTTTTAATAGTCAGTCTTTTTTTTTTAAAGATTTTATTTATTTATTTGACAGAGATCACAAGTAGACAGAGAGGCAGGCAGAGAGAGAGAGAGACAGAGGAGGAAGCAGGCTCCCTGCCGAGCAGAGAGCCCGATGTGGGGCTCGATCACAGGACCCTGGGATCACGACCTGAGCCGAAGGCAGAGGCTTTAACCCACTGAGCCACCCAGGTGCCCCTTAATAGTCAGTCTTAATGGCTATCTGCATTCATGAGACTCCAGCAGAAAATAGAACTCCAGGTCATTTAAGCAGTGTAATTTAATGTAGAAATTTGGCTATGCAAGTGATGGAAAGGTGAGAGGTCAAATGAAGGACTGAGAAGCAAAATAGGTCAGCCAAGTATGGGAGACAAAACTTTACCTCTTCCCATCTGAAGTGGTTTTAGCTGGGGCTCTTTAACAGAAGTCAGCTTGGCAAGAGAAAAACCGTTTATTAGCACATGCACTGTGTACATCATGAGGGAGAAACCTCAGTGAGTAACTCAGAGTTGTGGCTTAGAAAAAGATATACACACCCCTATATTCATTGCAGCATTATTTACAATAGCCAAGATATGGCAGCAACCTAAGTATCCATCAGTGGATAAATGGAGGAAAAAAAATAGATACAACATAATATTACTTAGCCACAAAAAGAATGAAATTTTGCTATTTACAACAATGTGGTTAGACCTAGAGGATATTGCTAACTGAAATAAGTCATACAGAGAAAAACAAATGCCCTATGATTTTACTTATATGTGGAATCTAAAAACAAAACAAGGGTGCCTGGGTAGCTCAATTGGTTAAGCATCCAACTGTTGATTTTGGCTCAAGTCATGCTCTTAGGGTCCTGGGATTGAGCTCCATGTCTTCAAACTCCGCGCTCAGCATGGAGTCTGCTCCAGGATTCTCTCTCTCCCTCTGCTCCACCTCTGGAATAAATAAATAAATCTTTAAAAAAATATAAACAAGGGATGCCTGAGTGGCTCAATTGGTCAAGCAGCTGCCTTTGGCTCAGGTCAGGATCCCAGGGTCTTGGGATGGAATACCACGTGGGTCCCCTTGCTTGGCGAGGAGCCTGCTTCTCCCTCTGTCTGCCTTTCCCCCTGATTGTGCATGCTCTCTCTCTCTCTCTCTCTGACAAGTAAATAAATAAAAATCTTTAATTAAAAAATATAAACAAAATAAATGACCAAACAATCAGAATCAGACTCAAACATAGAGAACAAACTGGTGGTCAGAAGGGTTGGGGGTAGGGGGTGGGCAAATATGTAAAGGGGATTAAATGGTACGAACTTCCAGTTAAAAGATAGATTGTGGAGATGAAAATCACAGCCTAGGGAGCACCTGGGAGGCT